CTCCTCAGTGTAATGCCAAACTAGAAAGAGTTCAAGGGGGAGGAAGGATCCAAAAGCCAACCCCAATTAAAGAGTTGTATACCCAGTGTATAGACAGGATATGCTGGTTTCCAAGAAGCACCGTCTTTATCTGAAATGTTTGTGCTTTAATATTTGTGTGATTGTTTTCCATTTCATTTGAACAAATGTGTATTCTGTCTGCCAGTTTGAAGATCTAATTCCTCTTTCCCTGCCAGGTAAATCTAAATGAAACTGTATTGCAGTCAATATTTAGAATTTCTGGGGAAAGGCAGGAAAATCAGAGGACTTGTCATATTTTACTGGCCTCATTGTATAGGATTTTTGTCAAAACTTTTGGGACTTATGTTTGTTTCTGATTGACAGCAGGCTAATATGTATTATCATTAAGAACAGTTTCTGAGACAATGCATGCTCTGACCTTGCTGCTTCTGCAGCTGTGAAGGCTTTTGTTTTCACTCCCATCTCTGTGTAAGTGAAGATAATCTCTACAAAGGGGCTCAATATTGACCTGTCATATCATGTGTTGCTTATCAAGCACTAAAGAAATTGAATTTCATTTTATCTGGAGCATTGTATTAAATCACTGTGCAGTTGAGAGGTGGTATAGGGTCAACAGGTTCTGTCTCTTTCGCCATCTATCTCTGGATTATTAACCTTTGGAGAATTACTAAGATGTTCTTTATTTTATCCCATAACGTTGGGTTAAATCTTCTTGATCCATAAATTGTTGCCATTGAGTGCCACGTACATGTAATTCTTTTATAAGGTTTCTGGATAAGGATTGAAGATTTAGTAATCTGTATAAATGTAGAGATCCCTTATCATTCTGGGTTTTTCTGTTCTTTTGATATTCTCTCAATGCCTCTGTTTTTAATTGGTTCATTGAGGGTAAAAGCAGTCAGATTGGATGATAGATATGAGTTAGTGAACACTTGGTAGTATTTGTTTGCCAAGAGAAAAAGCAGGGGTGAGGAAAAGGGAGATTACAGAGCTGGGTATGGCCAAGAATTAAAAGCAAAGGACAGAGAGAGAAGCTGGCCATAAGCAGAGATGGGAATGGGGTGGAGGTCATAGCAGCAGCCCATGGGCAGACAGAGTCTGGTAGAAGGGAGTCTGTCATCATTAGAGGGGCTCAGGAGAATCTACAGGTCAACACTGCTACCAGCACCAAATCTTCCATATGCCTTGTTGCCATATTTCTGTTTGAAGACCTAACTCTTCTAGTCAGGATGTTTGTGTTTAAGAGCTTGATACAGTCACAGGATATGAATTTCCTGCAACAACAGAAGTCGGCATACTTTCTGCTATCACCACAAAGAACTTCCTCCAGTGTTAAGTATGTTTTCTTCTGGCAAAAAAAGGCTTGAAAAAAGTAGATTACAAATATCTTCTCCCCAAAATTTTAAATTTAAATACAAGATGTAATGCAAAAAAACCCAAAACAACCCAAACTTGTTTCAATAAATTTCAAAGCTCTGAAACAAGAAATCTTTTTAAATGAATAAGCGAAATTATTGTTTTTCAAATAACATCCTTATGCTCAGATATTCACTTAGTGTCTGAGCACTTTCTTTTTCAAACTTGTTTTAAGAAAATCTGAATAAAAAAGAAAACAAACTCTTTAAAAAAGGACTAAAGCTGAGTGTTGGACTTAGCATTTTGGTGGAAGCATTGGCACATAAATTGTAAATGAGGTCTCTGAATTGTTGCTGCTTGCTGCTGCTATCTGATGGTCAGAGCACTGGTTACTGTTCAGTTTTCTTGTGGCCCTGGCAGTAAATCACTGTGTATCTTTGAACAAGCTATTAACCTTTTTTGTGCCTCGTTCTCCTCACAGAAAAGGATTAACATTGCTTACATATCTCACAGGGGTAACTGGTAGATTAATGTTTGAAAAATATTAAGTGCCTTCTGCCATTGTTATTGAAACTCCAACAGACAGGTCAAGGAATGAATAGGTATATTGAGAGCATCTTTTTTCTTCCCTCTTTGGCATAGGGTGCCAATTTGACTCGGGTAGTTCAACAAAGAAGTGAGAAGTCATGGGCTTGAAAATCCATGTATTTTGGATAAAAGTTCTAGATGAGAATGAAAGAGGAAAGATGGGAAAACACTTGGAAGACAAGATGTGAATTGAATTTCTGGAATTAGCAGTACTGAGAGAATATCCAGAGATCAGAAGAGAATACATAAATTGAAATTATATTCCAGTAGGATTAGGGAAATATTTCAGTGAAACACAAACCCTAAATTGTGATGAGGAAATGGAAAAAAAAAAGCAGATGAACACTTCTTTTCACCCCCATCAAGAGTTAAAAGTTATTTTTAATGAGATGGCTGAGATTTTTGGGAAGCCTTCTCAAAAATTCAAGTGTTTTATCTGAGAAAAGTAATTATTTGATGATTGCTTTCTACTGAGGTGTTACAGATGGAGGCTTTGTGGTATGGTAGTTTAAAACAATTGGTCTTTACCTCTAGAGATTCCCAAGATGAACATTGCCCAGAAGCAAGAGGAAAATTGTGTTTTTAAAGCACCATTTTAGGAGCAGTGGGACTGTTGGCAGAGTTTACCAAAGCTGTTGAGAGACTCTGCAGACTTTAATTACCATCTCGATATTGCAGAAGTTGTTTAATTTCTGCCAAAGAATGGAATATTTGTGAGAAAGCGAGATCACACTCTGTCTTTCATTCTTTCCTTTTTGACAGGTGAATAAAGAATGCTTTTCAATATCTCCTCTGATACTGTGACACATTTGTAAAATTTGCATAGAATTGTAAAATAATTTTTCTTCAAGATTAACAAAGCTTTTATTTTTTCTCCTTCTCTTTTGAAAGTGCCGTATGGCATAGCATAAATGCAGTTTAAGTCTTGTCTTGAAAGCTGCAAGATGAAAAATGGAGTATATTTTCCATTACTGTTCAGTTGGCTTCAAACATTAATAGTTTCATCGTTCATCATCAGACAACATGTATTATGTTGTCTTAATTCCAATAAATTTTGAATTCAGGTTTGAATTCCATCTCTGGTGAGAGTGGTTGGAGGCACAACCTGGATTAGTAGAATAAAGCGGAAATTATTAGAATGAGAAGAATCATTCCATTTTAGAAGGAAAACTTAGCCTATAACAATTTCCTTGGTGAAGGATATGTTTACTCTTTTAGGCCTCAAACTCTAAATCAGAGTATGTATAACTAGGTTTTTCACTGTCATTCAGATGAGAAAAGGGCTGATTATATATATACATATATATATATATATATAAATATACATATATATTTGTCTCAGCAGTTATCTTCCTCTATGACACTTGAGTGTGTTCAGTTTTTTCCAAAGTGCTTGCGGTGGATACTGATTCTTTGAAGACTCTTACCAGCTCCTTCAGTAGGTCTACTGTGTTGGTACATTTTTTTTCCATGACCGCCTCACACCTCCCTGTACTTGTTAAAGCACCAGCCTTTGTTTGCTCTATAAAACCCCTTTTTCCCCCCTTCTCTTCAAGTCTCTTATCTTTCAAGGACCTTTTCAATGCTATCCTTCCGCTTCAAATTTCTATTGTTACAGTGCATAGTGTGTTCAGAAAGCTACTGCCCAGGAATTCTACTTATTCATTTGTATTTTTCACCATATATATGATAAATCAGTACTTTAAGGGGAAAGGTAACATGCTTGTTCAAAATCCAGAAAGGGAAGGATAGGTCATGGGAACAAATACGAGTAGTTTTTAATCCTTAACACTTGTCATGTTACTAGGAATAGCTTTATGTTATATTTAGAATTTGGTTGTTTTGATGTTTGAAACTAAATGTTTGCAATTTGTCTGGCAAACTGCATGCTGAATAGATTACACTGATTCACATTTCCTTATTTCAGTATACCATCTGTGCTTTTGGCTAGTTTTTGCCTGGTTGGAACTCATAAATGCAAGTTACAAAGAACGGTTATGCTCTGAAAGAGAAATCCTTTATTTCACTTCCTTGGATAATCTCGACTGTTTTAACCTTAAAACAGCAAGGACACAAGGCTGAAGCTATGTACTACAACAGGCTTTATTTTCTCTGGTGATGAAGCCTGTATTAGCAGGGTATATTTTCACTGAAACTGTAGTATATACAGTCATGGTCATGATTTTCATTGTGTAATCAGTTTAATCAAGTTCAACTATAAAAGTTAGTCTTGCATGAGGAATAAATGCACTAGAGAGACAATGAAAGATTGATGACAGCTTGGGGAGCATCACGTACTCTGCTGGTGGAAATGCAAGTGTGGAGAGCAGCTTGGGGAGCAGGTCAGAGATCACTCACTGAGAGTAATGCCCAAGCACAGTTTTGGTGATTTGAAAGAATTGGGTTACGATGTGAATATCCAAAAGCGCTTTTTGTACTATTTCTGAGGGGTTTTGCTTGAATGAATAGCTTCATTGCTAAAATAATAAACAGTAATTAATATCTGCATCATTTTTGTAACTGCTAGCTTAGTAAGGTAATTAGTATAATTAGTATATAGCATTGCTTGGTGGCATGATAAATCATAATGTAATGAATGTTCACTCTTTACCATTATGATGTATTATCTAATTTATGCAGGTAAAAAAAAAAACAAACGGTAAGGGGGAAATCAAGAAGGGAAGCCAGCAGTGACAGCTGTGTGGCCTTTTGGTCACTTTTCTTGCATCTGCTGCCTGTATTCTCAATTGCTTTGAATCACTCCACTGATAATTAACAGTTCTTTTTCTTACTGTTGCTGAGTCTCAATCACAGATTAAAGCTTGCAAAGAGAGGACAGAGAAGAATGAAGTTAAAAAAATAAAAGACTGCCAGCTTTTTCGCCTTCAGGGTACCTGGGCAAAGGATGATACTTGTCTATTTGTTGGGTGCTTCCTTTACTTTCACTTTCCTGGAGGTATCATCTACCAGCTACAGTTCAGTGCAAGGATGAAGAATTTTAACAGTGTTTTTCTTCATTGTACTCTGTTTTCTAGAACCTATGAGAACACCAAAAACACTGAAGATTGCTGAGATCCAGGCCAGGCACATCGCAGTGGATTGGGAATCTCTGGGTTACAACATCACTCGCTGCCATACTTTCAATGTCACTATCTGCTACCACTACTTCTGTGGACACAATGAGAGCAAAGCAGACTGCTTGGACATGGACCCCAAAGCACCCCAGCACGTCGTGGATCACTTGCCACCCTACACGAATGTCAGCCTCAAAATGATCTTAACCAACCCAGAAGGGAGGAAGGAGAGCGAGGAGACCATTATCCAGACAGATGAAGATGGTATGTGTAAATGCTCTTATGGAAATTACATCCAGGTCTAGTCTAGACAGATGGTAGGAAATGACTTTGTGTGTTACAATATGTGTCCTGAAGGATGCAAGTTGTCTTCTATTAATGTATTAATTAGCCCCAAAATGGTAGCTATAAAAGTGTTATAGCTGTCACCCTGCATATATAGATAAAACTGTCCATGAAACACAAGTCAAACTGAATCTCTCTGTTAACTACTTGAAAGCCACCCATCAAATTAAAGTTATTTTGAGAACTTGGGAATTAGACTCAATCAACCTTATAGGTCCCTTCCAACTCAAGATATTCTGTGATTCCTCTTTAAAATTCTTTTGATGAAGTTTCATTGACAAGAGAGGTGAACTTACCTTAGTTGGGAAGAAATAAAGAATAGATGTATATATGTTAGTGGTGACACATTCAGTGGTTAGGCCATGACTCTTGGTATCAAAGATGCTAAAATAAAAATTGATATTTTCCCCTCATAATATTTAAAATGTGATAGCAAAGAACAATGTTAGTTTCCTTTTCTTATATTTACATTTCATGGAAGTATTGACAACAGCAAAATGAAAATAGATACTTCCATAGGTAACAAAAATAGAATACTTGGACTAATGTAAGACTGTAGATGTATAAAAAAGTAAAATTGAAAAAGGTATTGTATTTGCTTGCCTGTAAAATAAATGAATGGGAAATATAGCTTTATATATGGATAGCAGTCAATGTTAGAATCTGGTAGCACTCTTTTTCCATATATTTTCAATTTTATAAGAAATAAAAGAGGACTATGTTTACTGTTGCAATAAAGAAGAGAGAACAATTTATTTAATAGGTAGAATGTGAGGTACTGTAGAAAACTATAGACACATAGATGCATCCTATGAAGATTTATTGACAAGTACAGAATTAGAATATTTCATGGAATTAAAATTATTTTTTAAAGTTAATTATAATCCATGATGAATTATTTCTGTGTCTGTGTTTACGTTATAGATAGGAATGGTTGCTATTTTCCTTGAGGTTAAATAGAAAGTCATAGGAATATTTTTAGTCCATGGCAAATGGATTACTTTTCCTTTTTAACTGAGTTTACTTATTGGTTATGGTTTCTGATATCCTTTATCTAGTTAGATGTGCTGAGATGGTGGATGGTCACTGTAGCAGTGCTTGTCAGGAACAGAGTGAAGTGCATATGTATATTTTGTCTTCTGTTTTTGTTATGGATTATTCTTGAAAGATGATGCACACAAGGCAGGTTTTGGTCTTAAGCTAGTACGCCAGTGTGCTGTCACTGAACTTGTTTTGAATCAGCTTTGGTGTCACAAGTACTGTAGTGTAGAGGAAACCTCACCCAGTGAACAGAAGTTGCTAAGGTAAACTATTTCAAGCAGATGTTGTTTTCAGGGAGGGACTAATACATTTTAAAAAGTACCTATATTTAGACGCACTGGTGGTAATAATGCTTGTGACCTGAAAATAGCCTCTTGTGAGCTTTTCTCTGTGAAACTGTTGGGAATAGAATGCAGATTTTAATTTTGAGTTACTGATTGACTTGAAAGTCTTTGTCCATTTTGCCATGTATTTCAAAGTACATGGCATGCAGACAACATGCAATACTGAGGGATTCACACCTGTGTCTTTCCTTGAGCTCTCATAGCAATAGTGAACTAAATCCTGTAGTTGACTGCTTATGTGTATGATGTTAGTTCCATGTCTGAGTGATCAAATGTCTGAAACGTTTTTAAAAGACAGTTTGCAGCCTGAAGGAGAACTCAGACTAAGATGATGAGAGGAACAGTTATATATGTGATTCTGTTCCCCACGTTTCAGATGTGCTCAGGTGCAGCTTCATTGTCTTCATGATTTTTGCAGGTTCTATAAAATAAGCATGAGGTTAATTATATCATGAAGGCATTATCAGTGATTCATTTAGGAAAAGGAAAATAGAAGTAGAGTGTTGTCCTTCATTTTTGCAAATACCATTAATTAGAAATAGCCCCTGATTACATGCTATCTGAAATTGTGCACTTACATTGTATAGTTTTCATAAATAGAAACTTTGAAAACTCCAGATGACAACAATTGATAATTAGTTTTTTGTTAGCTTTTCTATAGTGTGGGATTCTTTTCAGTCCCATTTTTTTTCATAAGGTACTGCTAAACAAGCAAAAACTTTATGGACTGTTGGAGATAGAGATGCCTACCCCATGTTTTCTTGTCATACCCATGCTTCCAAGCTGTCCCTTTCTTCTCTTTAGGTGTTGTTGTTTTGTTTTAATCTTTCCCTTCATCTCTCTACATCGATCATCTCGTCTCCTCTCTTCTGTCAGGACTTTTACAAATTTCTGAGCTTATGGAATTCCCTAAAAGCAGAGGAATATGGACTTCTGTGAGGCTCCACTGTGCAGCAGGGTGGATCTCTTGCAGTCTTTCACAAAGGTTCACATTTGTGTAAGGCTGTGCAGCTGGGCTGTGGGTCTTTCAAAAATTGTCAGACCTGCCAGAGTGCTGAATGGTAACTTAGCTGCATATGGTACCAGGAGCAGAATTAACTCAAGAAACAATTAGTAGAAGAATGGGGTAAGAGTCACAATCTATGCTTCGGACCTTTGGAGCCATGACTGACAAATGAGGACAGTTTCATTAGCTTGTAATTCAGTATCTGCAAGAAAGCAAAGCCCAGGAATATCTGACAGTCTGAAGGTAGGCTCTCTTTTGACCAGAGCTAGATCTGAATAATTGGTAGTTTAAGTATTTCTATGTAACATGGAAAGATAGAATTAATCTTAAAGTAAGTTATAGTAATTTCAGAAAGCTGTATTCCATGTAAAAACAAAGCCCTTGAGAGAGACACTGGTAAATAAGTTGTGCAAAAAGAGAATGAAAATAAGGAAATTTTTGAGTGTTGTAAGAGTGAAACATATTTCACTTTGGGAAGAGAGCATTAGGGACTCAGCATTCCTGTGCTATTACAGGGACCCACTGCTTCTCCTTGTTTCTATAGAAGATGGACAACATTTGAAGAATTTGATAAAGGAAGTAGAGGAAGGCTCACGCAACCTGGAGCTGCATACATGCTGAGCAAAGATGATGTTTGGCATTTAGAAACAAAGTACAAAAACCAGCAGTGAATTTATCACTTAGCATGAATCAGCAGCGTGCACATGTTCTTGGAGCTGCCTGCTGACCAGAGCACTGCCAACTCAGAGGGACCCTTTTTTCAAAGCAGTGGATGAATGGGATAAACCAGATAAACGCTTCCTTAATTTTTAATTGGAAACAGATACAAAAGGCAGTGGATTAACAGGAGTAGTGACATTAGCTCTGAGAGAACAGCTGTGGAGAAAGCAAATTGTGAAGCTCAAAGTGTTCAGTGGTGATTTTATAACCAGTAAGGGAGTGTGTCATCTAATAGTAGGCAAACAAATAATTGAAAAGGATCACTTCGAATAGGATAACTACACATTTTGGGGCTTAAAGTATACCAAAGCTTTGTTCTGAGCCAAAGGACATGCTCATTGGACACAAATGCGGTTCCCTGATCTTTCAAAGACTGTGGATCATTCAGCTGCATGCAGAAATACCTAGAGCTACGATACCAACTGTCCAACCATTACTCATACTCCTGGGAAAACTCCAACAGGCTTGCCACTCTGAGTAACAGCAGAGGAAGGGGGAAATATGTATATAAATTATAATTGGGGGGGGAAATGAATAGAAACAGTGAAATATTTCGTGTAGTGTCTAAATGTGTGTCCTGCTTTCAGCTGGGATAGAATTAATTTTCTTCCTAGTAGCTGGTACAGTGCTGTGGTTTGGATTTAGGATGAGAATAATGTTCAAAACATGCTGATATTTTAGTTGTTCCTAAGTAGTGTTTATATTAAGTCAAGGACTTTTCAGCTTCTCATGTCCTACTATCAAGAAAACTGGAGGGGCACAAGAAGCTGGGAGAGGATGCAGCCAAGACAGCTGACCCAAAATAGCCAAAAGGATACTCCATATCATGGAATGTCATGCTCAGTATATAAGCTGGGGAGAAAGCTGACTGGGGACCACTGTTCAGAAACTGTCTGGGCATCGGTCTGTGAGTAGTGAGCAATTGCAATGCATATAATTTGTTTTAGATAGTCTAATTCTTTTATAATTTCTATTTTCTTCTTTTTTCTGCCTCATCCAGCTGCTGAGGGAGGATTGAGCAAGCGACTGGGTGGTGCTTAGTTGCTGGGTGAGGTTAAACCAAGGCAATGTGTGAAGAGGAAATACCTTTCACCAACTTCAAGAGGGAGGATTTATGGAAATAGTTGCCATTTAGTAATTTTCCATGATTGATAGTAGTAAGTTTTGTAAGTTGCCTTTATGAAAAACCAAACCAACCAAACAAAATCCCACCTCGATTTGCTATGAGAAGCATCTTTTTTGTTCCTGATTTTCCAGTTGTTCTGGCACCCTAGGAAAATGATGGTAATAAGAAGAGGTAGAAAATATGTTTTGATCAAAGTAAGCAATGCTTCAAGGAGCTTTGAAAAAACATAAAGATCTACTAGTAGCACTTGAAAAGTTGCAAAAATAGCCCGCCTGGGAGAAAAAGTTAACGCAGGGATGTGAACTATGTCCATTGCAGCAAAGGAGGGCTGCAAATATTGTTTGAAATGGCAAACTGTCTCAGAAAAGGTGTAACTCACTTAACTGAGTGACACATTCATACATGTCAAGTGAACCAGGTATGCTAATCCTAATGGGGGAAAAATTGGCAAATGGTTGCAGTTAACAAAGAGAGCCCCCCGACCAAGAGATAAAAGTTTCAATGTGAAGTTGTCCATAAATGTCACTGCTAAACATATTGACCTCAGTGCTTCATCTAAGAGAGAGACTAGTGACCTATGTGGCATAAGCAGTGGCAAAATTTAGTGTCAAAGTAGTCAAATAAGGGAGGAATTTTTATCTCTTTAATAAAAGGGAACTGAAACTGAGTATAACCAACCTAC